TCTACATAGATGAGATTGTCTGACTCCATGGGGTGCCCGTTTCGATCATTTCCGACCGAGACACACGGTTCACCTTGCAGTTTTGGAGGAGCTTGCATTAGGCTATGGGGAGAGGGTTGAAATTCAGTACAACCTATCACCCCCAGACAGACGGACAGTCAGAGCGCACGATCCGGACATTAGAGGACCTTCTGAGGGCGTGCATTCTGGATCGAGGAGGTTCATAGGAGGATTCATTGACATTAGTCGAGTTTGCCTACAACAACAGTTATCAGGCATCGATCGGCATGTCACCGTATGAGGCTTTGTACGGAAGGAAGTGTCGTGTACCCTTGTATTGGGATGAGGTTGGCGAGAGGAAGGTACTTGGGCCAGAGATTATTAAGAAGACAGCAGCTCAGGTAGATGAGATCCGAGTGAGAATCAGGGCAGCCCAAGAACGACAGAGAATCTATGCCAGGAAGAAGAGGAGGGAACAACAGTTCGAGGTTGGCGACAAGGTCTTCTTGAAGGTCTCACCAACGAAAGGTGTAGTCCGTTTCGGGAAGAGAGGGAAGTTGCAGCCTCATTATGTGGGACCCTTCGAGATACTCAACTGAGTCAGAGACTTAGCCTATCGATTGGCTCTTCCACCAGAGTTCGCGGGAGTGCACAACGTGTTCCACGTCTCTATGTTGAGGAGATATGTGTACGACCCCGAGCATGTAGTAGACTTCGGCGGGCTTCAGGTTGGAGAGGATCTTTCTTATGAGGAGTTCCCGCTAGCCGTTCTGGACCGAAAGGTCCATCAGTTGAGGAACCGGGAGGTGTCGCTCGTCAAAGTCTAGTGGAGCCGCCATGGCGAGGCCGAGGCGACTTGGGAGAGAGAGCACGAGCTCCGGAAGAAGTATCCAGAGTTTATGTTTTGAGCTTGTTCTTTGTACTAGTATTTGGAGTTTATTTCTTTTTAGTAGTTTTTGAGTTGTATTTCCGGGGACGGAAATCATTTAAGAAGGGAGAATGTAGCGCCCCGATTTTATTTTAGTAGACATCTCGAATTATTATTATATTATGCATTTTTATGGCATTTTATTTTATCAGCTCGACGAGTAGATTTGACTAATTAGACGTGAGTGTCTATTTAATCATTTCAAATAAATAATTTATTTAGACCTTTTCGTCTAATTAAATTATTCTAGAGTTTAGCCGAGTATTAGAATTTTTCAGTATAGAGAGAGAGCTAATTGTTAGCCTTATTATTTTTTTTCCGGCCTTATAAACCGATTTTCATTCGGTCCTTTGATCCGTCGAGCCGTCCCTTGTGATTTTATATAACACCAATATTATTTGTTAAAAACAAATAATCCTCTAGCATCTTGTTTTAACTTTGAGAGGCTAAGAATCAGATTTTTGCGGGACCAAACTTTTTAGATTGAAACCAAAATATTTCTTAGCATAGTTGGATAGTTCTTGCGGGACTTAGTCAGCCTTAGGAGCTGATTTTTAGCTCACGTGTCACGCATATCTCTCCACATCAAGCAACAGACATTATCTTGTTTCTTCCTTTTAACTCTTCGATCGAACTCTCAGAACAGAATTCATTTTCACGCCCCTTAGACAGTTCAGAATTATTTTCTTCCTTCCAAACTTGATTTTCTCAACCGCAACATCACCTCAGCAATTTATATCATCGCCTCTGTCATATCATCAAATCGCAGCCTTTAACCTCGCCGGCACTTTCCAGCGGCACCCCCGTCGGCCTCCGTTCAGCGGCCCGAATAGCAGAGGCACCCCGTCGGCCTTCGTTCAGCGGCCGAACAGCAAAAGCAGTCCCCGCTTTTGTGCGTAACTGCAGCAGTCCCGTTTGAGCATCCCCGTTCGTTCGATCAGCATAGCGGATAGCCGTCGTAAGAGCCGAGGCCGAAACCAGACGTCCGAGACTCATCGTTTTCAGTTTTTCATTTCCGTTTCATTCCCAGGAGGTATACCTCTCTTTAATTTCAGATTTAAAGTTCAAGATTTCACCATGCTTAAGGTTCACGAGTTTTAAATGAGTTTGAATTCATGAAATGAGAATTGTGTAATTTAGATATTCATGAATTCTTAAAGCAGTAAGAATTGATGTGCAACTCTAGTATTCTTAATATATTGCCTCAAACTCATGAATTTATGTGTAAGTAGATGGAGTCATTTTATTTTATTTTGCCTTTTAGTGAGATTAAGCAAAATATAAGTTTAATTGTGTTGCAGCAGTTATTTTCTAAGATTTGTGAGATCATGCAAAATGACAGTTAAACTCCTTTATCTATTTCGAAAATGTGAAGGGAAGTTTGAGTTAGTGGTGAAATGTGATCCATGTTGCTGGAGAGAATTTTATCTTAATTTGCATTCAAGTGCTATTAAACAAAATCAAGACATATTGCTTTGTTTGAGTTCCTGTATTTGTTTTCGAAAGGGAGATTTGAGAAGGCTTTTAGTTTTGAGTTTTCAACATATTAAATCTCTGTTGTGTTCTTTTCTTTAGGCCTGATAATAAAGAGTTTTGTATGCCTTCATTAGAGATTAAAAGCAGTTCATTACTGTAGTGATATTTGCAAATGTGTTTATTTAATTTAAAAATCAAATCGTTTGTATCATGTTTTAAAACCGGATGGTGAACTCCTAAAAAGGTTTGTGTATTGGTCGTAAGAGGTGCCGTAAAGGTCGAGGTAGTTGTTGGGATAAGCCGAAGTTCAGTGCCGGGCCACAACGGCCGGGTGTTGCCAGAACCGCTGTCGCGAGCTCCCAGGTGCGCCCGTACACAGGTGGGACGTATGCTTGTCGTGTACATCGCGTGCCGCGAGGCCCGCGTTTCAGTAGCCTGCGCGGCCCCGTGTTGTCAACAGCCGTCCGTGCCTAGGTATCCTCCCGCAGCTCATCACCCACTCGACACTCTCCCCGCGTCCCGTACCAGAACTGTGCCCGAGCCCGTGTCAAGCCCGAACCAAATTTTAATAGTTTCAAAAGCCCTTTTTTTAAAATGTCCCGAGATTTAAGATGATTTTTGCTTCGAGGCTAATTATAGATTTTTAAAGAATTAATTTTCAGAATTTTTAAAGATTCCGAGTCGAGAGTTCCATCATCTAAGAAAGAGCATAAAGTCTATAAGTCATGAACCTTAAGCTAGAAAATCCTTCAATTGGTAAATTTAATTTACCAAACCAGAATTAGTTATTTATTCGAGAATCGCTTAATTCATGTAGATTCCGAGGAGTCGAGCCCTCGAGTTTCCACATAAGCGACAACTCATCTCAGTAGCAGACCCAAGTTATCCAGGTGGGGAAGTCTATCTAGTACATCATTTTGATTAAACATTGTGATATTTTTGTTGTTGTTATTTGCATGAATTATGTGTTTCCAGTTTTTCAGTTATATATCGGACGATTGATCACGTACGGTATGAACAGCTATTTTTGTAGTTGTTCCCAGATCAGATATGTCGCATGCTAGCTAGTCCCCCGAGGAGCAGTACTCCGAAGGGCTAAGTAGACAACCAGTACACCTGAGGGGCAGTACTCCGATGGTTGCTAGAATTTTTCAGTTGCACCTTAGTACTGCTTTGGTTGCTAGAACTCTTTTTGAAACCATGGTTTGTATTATATCTGCTTACAACGGTATCTTTTGTTTAATTCGAATGTCCGTATTATATAGACTCCAGGTGAGCCCATTGATTATTATTATGCTCACCCCCCCACACCAACCTTTCAGGTTAAGCAGCTGGATTGACGGCACTGGAGGCAGGGCAGTGTGGTCATCAGTTTATTTTTATTCAGTTATTTATTTCAGACATTGCAGTTATGTTCAGTATTACATTTCCCATGTCGAGACATTGGATTTTTAAGATGATTGCATGTTTGATTTGAGGATTATGAAATTTAGTATTTTGAGACTTAATGCATTTTTGAGTTATTGCATGTCTCCAGTCAATTTGAGAGTTAGAGTTTTCAGAAAAGAAAGAATTTTATGAGTAACGACCCAATAAAAAGGATTTTCAGATTTTTGAAAAGTTCAAATTTTCTTGAAAATATTACTATTTTCTTTAAATCAAAAGTGGGCGTTACACTTACTCACTATGAACACTTTCATGGATGATCAATTATAATAGTTTGTGTAGTTTACTCTAAGTCAAGTCAACCCGATCGAGGGTACATTGGCTAATAATTCCACAATTATTCCACAAATGACTAAACGCGCATTCAAGTATTTCACGATCACATCTCCTTCATGCGAAATTTAACATTTAAATTTTGGTCAAGACTATGAGTATCACTAATTAACAATCTCTTTCATAGATGTTGAAATGAGTGAACCAAAAACTCGTTCCTTAGTTTCTGTAACAATGGGTACTGGGTGTCAAAAATATAAATACACATGTTAATCATAA